GAGGTCATACATTTTCCTCTTCAGTTTGGCCCCACAGGTTTTGATGTATATATAGTACAGTAGTTCCGATGTTTTTTGTTTGTTTACTTATAAATCATTTGTACTTTCCATTTTTATTTCTCTTCAACCCAAGGGTTATTTAGAAGTGCATTTAAAAATTAAAATTTTGAAATTTCCTGTTGTTTAGATTTGAGGGAGGGACTAGTATGTTAATTTTTAACACTACATTATGGTAACTGATTGATTGTGGCCTGTGTAATATCAGCCTTATGGATTTTTAAAATATTTCCTTTGTTACCTAGAACAGGGGTCCACAAACTATAGCCTGTAGGCCAGGTTGGCCTGGGGCCTATAGTTGTAAATCAAGTTTTATTGGAGCATAGCTACATCCATTTATTTACATATCGTCTATGACTCCTTTCCAGCTATGATTGTAGAGCTGAGTGTTGTAATAGAGACCCTGTGGCCCACACAGCTTAAAATATTTACTATCTGGTCTTTACTTCAAGAGTTTGCTGATCCCTGACTTAAATCGTAGTCAATTTTCACAGCTTTTTCATTTGGGTTGGAAATATGCATATTTTCTCTTGGATACAGGTTCCTTATATCCCTGTTAGAATAAGCTTAAGATGTGTTATACCGATCCTTATATCCTTCATTGTGGTTTTGATTATCAATATCTGAGAGAGATGTGTATAAACTTCTTATCACAACTAAATTTGTCCACTTTCATATTTTAGTGTCCTTTGAAGCTGTTTTTTTTTTAATAGCAGAGTGTTGACAGGTCATAGCTATTAAACTTCTCTGCTGTTTTTCCTTCATACGGTATGAAATAGTCCTCTTTATCCTATTTATTTTTTATTTATGCCTTGAATTCTTTCTAAGAATATTATTGTTCTGGTCAGGATTAGATTCAGCAGCATATATTAGAAAAAAATTTAAATTAGAAATAAAATTAGTTTAAACAAGAAACATTTTTTGTGCGGAGTAAAAGAAGTCTGAAGATTGATCTCTGGGCTCTGCAGTGTCTTCAGAGACCCAGGCTCCTCTCTTCTGCTTCACCATCTTGGTATATGGTTTCCATCCTAAGGTCCCTTCATGGTCCACGAGACTTCTGGAGCTCCAGCAAGCACATCTCCATTGAGGGCCAGAAGGAAGAGGAAAGGTAGGAAGGCATAAAGGGGCCTGTCCCCCAGCTCAACTGACTTCCAATAAATGACCTTCCCAGAAGTCCCAGAAAGCAATTCCACTTCTATCTCACTGGCAGAACTCAGTCAAGTGGCCATACCTAAGCTACCAAGGAGACTAGGAAATCTAGTCTTTTTCTTCACGTAGCTCTGTCTTTGCTAAACATGGACATTCTGTTATCAAGGAGAAAGGTGAGAATGCACATTTGGAACAGGCAGCTGGCAATCTGCCGCTGCCTGTTGTGTATTATAGTTCTTGTTAGCATTTGTTTGCCTGTTAAAACTTGTTCCATTCTTTTATTTTTGACCTTCCTCAGTTATTTTTTTTAGGCATGCCTCTTATAAAATATAGCAAGATCTTGAGTGTTTTGGTTTTAAACAATTAGAACATTCGTCTCTTAATAGGGGAACGTCATACATTCATTTTATTACCATTGCTGATATATGTGGCAATATTCCTGCCATTATCTTTTTTGGTTTCTGTTTGCTATGCTTTTAAATTTTTTCCCTTTCCTGTCACTGGCACTGATTGAGTTTTCTGTTGTGATTTTTCTGATTTAGGAATTGTCCTTACTAAATCAATTTTTAAAGTTATTATTTTATTAAATATTCTGTTTTGAAATAATATTAGATTTACAGTAAAGTTGTAAGAATAGTATTAAGGATTCCTGTATATGCCTCACCCAGATTTCCCAAATGTCAGTGTTTTTTCGCATTTCTATTGTCATTTTTTCTCTTTATAGTATGGATTTTTTTTCCTGTACCATTTGAGAGTAAGTTGCACACATGATGCCTCTTCAGTAGGCATTTCCTTAGGCATTTCTTAAATAACCAGAATATAATTGTCAGTATTAGGAAATTAAAATCCATACAGCATTATTATCTAATCCATAGATAGTATTCAAATGTTATCACCAATTTTTCTAATTACATCCTTATAACAGAAGAAAAAAACCTTTATTCCAGGTTCACATATTGCATGTGATTGTCTTGGCTATTTAGTCTCCTATGATTTCAAACAGCTCCTGTGTCTTTTGTGACCTAAACAGTTTTGAAGACTATTAAAGGCCAGTTATTTTGAAAAATGCCCTTCATTTTGCATTTCTTCATGTTTTATCATGATTAGATGTAGATTATGTACTTTTGGCAAGAACGCCACTGAAGTTATGTTGGTTCTTTTGATGATTTGTATAAGGAGGCACATGATGTCAATTTGTTCCATTACTGGTGATTTTACCTTTGACCATGTGCTTAAGGTAGTGCCCGATAGGTTTTTCCACTGTAAAGTTAATTATTCTCTTTGATATTAATAAACAGTTGGCCTTCCATATTCATGGATTCTGTGTCCATTGATTCAACCAACCTGGAATAAAAATATTTGGGAAAAAAGCTGCATAAATGCTGATCATGTAGAGACTTTTTTTTAGTCATTATTCCCTACACAATACACTATAATAATAATTTTTTTTGAGACAGGGTCTTACTTTGTCACCCAGGCTAGAGTGCAGTGGTGTGATCATGGCTTACAGCAGCCTTGACCTCCAGGGCTCAAGTAATCCTCCCTTGTCAACCTCCCAAGTAGCTGGGACTACAGGCATGTGCCACCATACCTGGCTATTTTTTTTTGTGTGTGTATTTTTTTGTAGAGGTGGGGTTTTACCACGTTGCCCAGGCTGGTCTCAAACTCCTGGGCTGAAGTGATCTACCCATCTCAGCCTCCCAAAGTGCTGGGACTACAGGCATGAGCCAGTGCACCCAGTCTGTATGAGGTATTGTAAATAATCTAGAGATGCTAAGTAATCTAGAGAGAATTTAAAGTATACAGGAGGATGAGGTTACATGCAAATACTGCACCCTTTTATATCAGGGACTTGAACATCATTTGGTGTCTGTGGGAGGTCCTGGAACCAATCCCCCACAGTTACGATGGAATGAGTGTTATCTTGTAGGGAGTTTTAGCGTTCATCAATTCGTATTTCCTAAATTACTTATTACTAAGATGTTTGTCACATGTCTAATTCCATCATTCCTTCAACATTTACTAGTTGGTGTTCTACTTTAAGAAAGAGTTTTCTCTTCTGATTATTTGTTCACTTATTTATTTATACTAATGTGAACACCTGGATTCTTATTTTATTCAATGGGTTTTAATCCATTACTATCATTAGTTATTTTGAGGCACCCATCGTTTCAGAATTGGCTAGTGGAAGTTCTTTTGACCTACTCCCATCTTTCTTTGAGTACTACCTGATTTTCTAGCACAAGTATATGTTCCAGGTTTGTCTCATTTTTTCCTCTACCCGGCCTGGATTCATTATTTCTCCAAGGAGCCTTAGTTCCTTTTTTTTTTTTTTTTAAGATAGCTTTATTGAGGTACAATTGACATGATAAATTGCACATGTTTAAAATATACAATTTGTCAATAAGTTTTAATATTTATACACCTGTGAAACCACTGCTATAATCCAGATGGTGAAAATTTCTGTCACCTTCAAACATTGCCTTGTGCCTCTTTGTAATTCTTCCCTTCCATCACACCCTATCACTTCTCCAACTACAGAAAACCCTGGTCTACTCTTACTAGAGATTGGTCTTCATTTTCTAGAAATTTTTGCATATGGAATCATAGAGTATGTACTTTTTGTCTGTCTCCTTTCATACACCATAATTATTCTGAGATTCAGCCATGTTGTAGCATGTATCAATAGTTTGCCCCTTTTATTACAGAATAATATTAAATTGTATACATATTACCACAATATGTTTATCCATTCACCTGTTGATGGATATTTGAGTTATTTATAGTTTTTGTCTATTACAAATAAAAGTGCTTAGAACATTTGCATATTGGTTTTGGTATGGATATATGCCTTTTCTTTCCTTGGGGAAATACCTAGGATGGCACTGGCTGAACATACAGTAGACATGTGTTTAATTTTTTTTTTTTTTTTTTTGAGACG